TCAATATAAATAGAAATCAAACTCTACTATTTAATCCAAAAAATAATATAATCCAGAAACGACTTGCATTGTTTAAATTATTTTATAAAAAAACAAATGGTTCAGGTTGTATAAATTTCCACTTGACTGAAAGTGTTCAAATCAATTGGTATCGATACCCATTTCGCTGTTTCCAATCGAGAGGGAAATCAATTCAGAATCAAAGATAAAAAACGAAACAGCTGAAAAAGACAAAGTTTGCATGAAACAGCGAATAGCTTGGAAAACAGTTGTCGCTCAGGGTCGCTTCGTTCCCTCTGTAATAACCCACATTGTTCGAGCCCTTATCGCGGTAGGGTGTAAAGAGGGGTGTCGGCAAGAGGGAGCGACGTACGAGAGAGCATACGAGGGAGGAATCGTACATTCGAAAGGCAAGAGGAAAGAAAGAGGAGAGACACTCGAAGAAGCGGAAAAGGGTGGGTCACTGGTGCTCAACTAGCCGAAGGGCTAGGTGATCCGAGGTCTCGTAATGGGAGAGCAGAATTGCAAGCTCAGGCTAAGTAAAGCGTCGCCGACGAAGGTCTAGGGCAAGTCAATGTATATACATTTCTACTGGGTGTCAGTTAACTACTTGAACAACTACAAAAATTCATGTTCTCTTTAACAAAACATAAAAAAAGTATGAAATAATAAATTTAAAAAATAAAATAAAATTATCTTAAAATATTTTACAATTGTCATACAATATATTAGATACCTGAATTATTGATAAATTTTCCTTTAGAAATTGAAATAAATATTATTTTTGAAAAAGGAACATTTTAAATAAAAAGTATTAATATTGCATTGATATAGTGGCAAGATAATAAGTGTAAAACAATTAAACAAAAATTATTATTAATGAATATTGTACTTAAAAACGTTCATAAGAATTTTGTATACAACATAGATATTATTTTCAACAATTTCTAAATTAAAAAACTTCTTTGGACATTCAATCCATTGTATGCATCCATTAGCAATATTTATAAACATGACTAGAGGTATAGTGGCACGAATATCGAGTGAAAAATTTGCACTCTATTCTTCCAATTTATATCCTTTGCGTTACGGGACACTGTGTATATCCCCTTCTTCCTGCTGATACTCAAGGATTCCTAGCCCTTTTAGCCCTCCAGCTAAGAGCTGCACTCGTGGCAACGTGGAAGCTGGCGATTCAGAATCGTCACCCTCCTGCACTTGTCATCTAGAAGGGGTTGGTAAATCGAGAAGCAATAACTGGTTCCTATTTGACGCTATCTGTTACCTTAGGGTCATGATCGGCAAGTTCTTGTGGCAAGTTTGATGTGTCGACGATCAATTCGACAATCATGTTATGGTGACAGATATTGCGATCGTAGGCGATAATTTAGGACAATGGTGTTCGAGATGAGCTCCATTTTTATGAAGCCTGAAATGTGATAGTAAGATCACTATCATTTCTGAGATTATTTGTTGACGAAGCAAACCGCTTGGAAATATTATTAAATATTAAATAATGTCCCATTTATTTAAAACGTTATTCAAATTATACTCTGTACTTTTCGATCGGTGACAATGCAATTTATAACCAAAGTAAGTTATTCAGTGCTCCGCACACCGTACACAGCTGATTGCACTTTAATGGAGGTACGCTTCAGCGAATGCTGCGATCAAGTACCGATGATTTATTATACGCAAGTGTTCTACTCGAGTTCATTGTGTTCTAATTGACAGGCATGTAGTGGCAACGAGGCTGTATCAATAACCTGTATAATATTCAATCAAAACAGTGCAATAGGTGCATAGATAAAAATCGACTTAGAAAAATGATAAAATAACGTACAAATTATATGCATCATCTAATTTTATATTATTTTATAACAAAAAAAATTGATGAATGAATTCAGGTATCCGCACATCCCTAGTGATAACATTTCAAATTATCCATAGAATAAATAGAATTCTCGAGATCTAACCCTTCCACTAATAAAACGGTCTAAATTCGCCCAAAATAAAAAGATTCTAAATATTATTGACGTGGAGGTTTGATAGATACGGTTATCAAACGCCGAACATTTTCAAGGGCTCGACGATCGCCTGGACCATTCTTATCCCTGTGAAAATATGTTAGGAACTCGATCATGATGGTATAATGGGGCTGGAGGAAAGATAAACCAGGGCGCAGAAAATGATGGATCGTGGCCACGGTTCGGCCAAACACGCGAAACTTGGCATGCAGGTTGAAATGATTTCTCCTGCTAGTCGTATGAGTTGCCAAGTAAATGAAACTGCGTTCCTTTTTTTTTTTTGTTTTATTATTGCTACGAACTACGGATTCAATTCAGATCCGGCCGACAGAGCATCGACCCGTTCCACTGACACACTCTGAAATGCTCTTCTATTAGAAGGCAAACGTGAAAAGAGCGACTGAATGAATAAACAAACAACGAATAAACAAAGGGAAACGCGATCTCAGAGCGTGATTCATTCTGTCACAAGTCATTCTGTTGTATCGTCTTTTTTTTTTTTTTTTTTTATTATTGCATCGATCTGTCGATGTTCATTTTTTTCGTTGCCCCTAGGGCTCTTTTTCATTTTTGTTTAAACTATGAAATTGAAGCCAGCTTTAAGCTGATTATTAATATTATAGAAACTGTGTAAAAGTTGGGAATATCCTGCATTTACTTTGGATTTACGTTACAATACACTACCTTTATTCTTTTTTGAGCAACTTTGTTTAAATCTACCATGTACAGTGAAAAATATATGTACAAAAATTTGTATCATTTATTTTTTGCTATTTTATTATACTTTTTTTTCTTTAAAGATAGCTAACAAGAAGACTATCTCTATTAATGCGATACCGCCTTTATTTTCACATGCATTATACAAAAGCCGAACCAGCTCCATTGTGTCTTATCTCTGCATTCTATGCACTGATATTCTATACAACGCTCGGAATTATCATTAAAGCGGATAAACACTTAAAGGGAATATCACCTTCATACATTCTCAATTTAATGAGACTCAGAGTACCATTAGACCAATACAATTCATTAACGTTGATAGAAATTAACCGGATAAAGGACTTTTAATATTTTTAATGAAGTTAATTACTTTAAACGCACCAGAAAATTAATTATAATGTTCTGTTCTCAAGATCGTTCAAGAATATTTAAAATTTCTGTATTTTATAGCAATAATTATCTGAAGTTACGTTAATTTTTTTACAGTCAGATGAACATATAACACTGACAATCAAAATGTTAAGTAAAAAAGATTTTATGGCTTACTGTATTCTTTGGTTTTAGTTGCATGAAACAGCACGGTGTTTAAATGAAATAAAATTCCTATCGGTAGTATAATGAGGTGCAACAAAATTTCAGCGATAAAACATCGATCAATAGTGTCTGTATACCTGAAAATTTACCCTACGTCCATGCATGTTTCACTGAAACAAGCTTCCAAAGCAATCCGTCAAGGTTCTTTCAACCCGAACCTGTAACAAGCCAATACAGCCTCTTCCAAAAAAGAAAAACAGATCACACCGAACGAATTCTATAAATCGTCTATACATCCTGCGTGGAGGGAAATTGAGTCGAAAAAAAGAGTTAATCAAAATCCTATTGAAGCCAGAAACCCGATCGTTTCTGAATTCCATGTTGCTCGTTGAAATGACCAATTCCGAGCGACGGAAGGGGATTAACGAATGAATCACTTAACCGTACCGGGCAGAAATTGGGTCATCGCGATGGTCATTAAACCGTCGAGTCGCGGATCAAGTCGTTGGAAAAGACGTCGCGTCGACCTTCTCAGGCGACGGATCGGCAGTCTCCGCTTTGTCTCCATTCACAAAGACGCGCGCGTAGCCACGGTAGCGCTGTTATCGGAAGCCCGTGGAGGGTGGTCTGCCAGTATGGAGGGTTCAGAATTCTCCCCTAACCTCGAGTCGCGCCACCCGCGCCCCCCTCCGTCCCTCGGCTGCCCACATCTCCCACCCAATTGGGGATTCGATCGACGTCGGTATTTCCAAGCGTGACCACCCAACCCCGTGGTGGCGCCTGCGTCGAGACGCCCCGTAAACACGCCAGCAGAACTGCTTAAGGACGAGAAAGATAGAGAGGGGTAGGGACGGCTCTATTCGTCCTCTCCACCTTCACCTTCTCCCTCTATTCGTGTCAACCGTCACGGAGATTCTGACCTGCGCGAGGAGAACCACTGGCTGAGAATCGTGCGGCAGGATACGATCGTGTACCCACGAGGTACCTTTTCGTCTGTGTCTCGTCCTATCCTCGTGGTTGTAGGTGTCGATATCGGTTGCAAGGGCGTACGGAAAGTTGGCCACCGGTGTGCGTGTTAACCACATTGAAACGGGGTATGGTATTGGTGAGTGCACCGGCGATAGAGCGCGAACTTTCGTACACAGTCCTACAGGGGTGGTTGAGTTTAAGACCAGATACCTAACGCGGTAGAAAAATGCTTCTTCCTACGTAGATTTTCTATCGAAATTTCAGGAAACGATCATTTTTTATCCAGATCCATCCGTCAGCTGGTCAACTGGCGAGAACACGAAACTCCCCTGGGTGACAAATTCCACCCGCCTCGTGGCCAGTTGTAGACAACGTTTCGCTACATAAACTGGCAACTCTGTTACCTTGTAACCGTCAGCACGCAACATTAGTATTAATATGACGATAGCCGTGTTGCTACGAGGCAATCGACTACTAGCGGCACGGTCGTGCTAGTAGTAGACGACGGTAGTGGTAGTACTAGTAGAACAGGATTTCCCAGAGAGCATCTCGCTATTGGTAATGTTCGTAGCGCACATCCAGGCGATACTAGTGTTGGATCGGTTGTCGGTGTTGGTGGAGAAAAGTGGAGGTGGTGGTGGAAGCGGTGGAGGTGGGCGAGGAGGAGGATGGCGATGGTGGTGGTGGTAGCGGTGGCGGTGGTAGCGACGGAAGGTAGTTTCTGGGTGGTGGAGGGCGCGGATCGTCATCCGCAAAGTCGTGCGTTCACCCCGTGCCGCGACGACAACAGGGCGTCGTTCGTTCCGGAACGAGCGACGATGCGTCGAGTTCGCTAGGAGGCCCGCTTCGCGAACTCTACTACCGAAACCGATCCTCCGTGTTATCGCGTCTGTACCGGTGGCCGATTGCATTCCAAAGTGCTCGCATCCTAAAGTGGAGTATCGTGCTCTGGCTGTTGGGCGTCCAGTACAAAACTCGGACGAAAGTGACGCGTGTACGCGGATCGAGCACGCTCCGCGACTGATAAGAAATCTTTAAGGAACGTGCGCGGAAGTGTGTCTGTGTGGGTGTGTTCTGTCGGAACACGTGGCGGAGCGCGGTGACGTGACACGGAGCAACACGGTAGTTGGCGTCGAAATTCGAGGTTAGGCGTCCATGTGGCAGCGTCGATCGACGCTGGTTTAAGGACACGTCGAGGAGGACGCCGGCTGGCATCGTTCTAGGGGTTGCTACGGGCGCGGACCTTCGGAGTGGGGTGTAAACGGGACGAGGGAGGTGTTGGCCGATGAGAGCTAGGTCTAAAGTGAATCTCGGCTTGGGCGGTGCAAGGTAAATGTCCACTGGGAACGTCCGAGCGTCGCGAACCTACTTCCATCTCGTCCATCGTTTTCTTCCGCACCCGGTCGGCGGAAAAACATTGTCACGTGGCTCGTTCTCGTCGGAGTGAACGAGCGGTGCGCTTTCCGTCTGTTCCCGCGATACCCGTCTCTATCGTGGAAAACGTCGTTCAGCTTGGCTCGAAACGTCGATCGAAGCGAGGAATAAGCGACGGGAGATGAATGGACGGATCCGCGAGACACGGCGATTAATTAACCGGTGTATTTATAGGTAACGAGCTCGCTGAACCGACCGGCTAATTAGCGGCCGATCGATGACAGGGATTTCGTGAAAAGGTGTAACGCGTGTTGGCGTTCGTCGTGGAAGCAAGTGAAAGCCTTTTCCGTCGCGCTCTCCGAAGTGGATGTAATATCGTTCAGCCCGAATAAGTCTAGTGTGTTTCAGTGAAATAAAAGCTCGGTTGTCGACAGTTTCACAGTGAAGTGTTGCCACGGTGGCAGTAGCTCAGTGCCAGTGAAACAACGTTGTTCAGGTGTAAATCCAACAGGTACCCAGATATCGCACGGTCGAAAAAAAGGGCCCCGACTGTGAAAGAATTTCAGTCCGCTCTGTGATCACGGCACAACCCCGTTTTGGATTACACCGTTGTTCGGCTTTAAACGTCGTGGATTCCCGCCCTGCGTCGTTAGGGCGAACACGTGAATCAACCCCCATAAGAAAAATCGATCGACCCGCGAGCGTAGGAAACGTGGCCTGGTAAGTTCCACGACAGACTCTCCAACTCGTACGATATTCCTCGTAATATTTCGACGCAACCTTTCGTTTCGTTGCCGCAACGAACGTCGAGCCGTGTCGGGAAACAACGATAGAAATGAGAGTAATCTTGGGACGGAGAGAGAAAGAATTCGATGGTAAAAGCTCGAAGAATAGTTCGGACCATTTGAGGGAGGCATCAGAATTTATACGAGTTGCCAGCAGTTGCCGAGTCTCTGAAGAAAGTTGGATCTTTCGGTTGCATCCACTTTCTTCAGAGGGTTGCTTTCGAGAGAACAATAAGGAAATTTAACTTGAGCTTCTTCTCTTTTCAACGTTATCAAATTGTTTATTGTTTAACCTTCGGAAGCCCTTCGTGAGTTGCATAAACTTTCTCTTAGAAAATTATTTTCACGTTTATTTGAATTGTTTTATTTCTTATGGAAAAAAGGGTGCAACAATTAGCGTTTTGAAATGCAAAGCTTAGATATTAAATGTGTATTTACGTCGGCGGGATCTGTACGAGAAATTTAAAATCGACAAAACGAACGCAACGTAACCAACGTAATTTAATATCGAAACAGCTCCCGATGGAGTTTCACGTTAACGAAAAGTTTATCGTGATTTTAACCTTAACAAAGTTTCCGCGTCTGCCACTCGAGCCTGGCTTTCGATGTCGTACTCGCGTATGCTCGAACGAGGGTGAGAAAGCTCTTGTTTACGCGGCCACGAAATCACCCTAGCAAGCATTGACGCGTTCGATTAACTACCCCAAGGTTTAACCGTATCAACTAACAGGGTACTTTTCTTGACTACGTTTGATTAATCGATGCCTCAATCACCACGATTTCACGTTTCATTTGGCAACGTCCATGAGGATGGACGGAGATATTTGTCCAGGAATGTTCGATCCGAATTGCATCGGATAATATTGGTCGATATAATCGATTCCCTGATGAAACTTCAGCTGTACCATCACGGAGATACTAAAGTTCATGTTAGGTAGTGAGAGTTTGGTTTTATTAACCCTTCAACAACGAAGCTTAGATCAATTGTGACTCAAACTTACAAAACTTATGCAAGGATATTAATCTAAAGTTAAATGTATAATTTTTAAACGCAAGAATATCCTGATTAGTCTCACGAATCAAAAAATCGCAAAATAAAACAAAAAGTGTAATTCTAAATGTTAATGAAAATTACACCAATAATTCAAAACAATGAAAATTAGTTTTTCAAATTATTAGTAATCTACGTCTCAAGTATAACGTGATCGAAAAATTAACATAAAAATTAATTATTCTCATCATGATTGTCTAAGATAATTTCTAATCAGCAATATATACACCAGAAGTGTCAACTACAATTTCACAGAAATCCCACCATAATCGTTATTCAGATAATCAAACCTACCCCAAAATCAGACCCTACGCAAACAATACGATGGGTTTATAACAAACTCGTGAACGCTTGTACCGCAAAGTGGCCCTCAAAATGACCATCGAGAAACGGTTCATTTGCATGGGAAATCCATGTCGAACACCAGAGACAATTATTACCGAATTAGACGATCGAGAAGCGTGTATTCAGAAAGCTTTCGACCACTTTGAATTCAACAGATTCAGCGAGTCAGTTCTATTCGATACATTAATTCTTGCATAACTAAAGTTGAATTATTCCAATTCAACCACAAAGATGTATTTCATTTTAACTATATGAATTTGAATATAATATTGGGAGATTAAAAAGCAGTGAGAAAGGTATTAAAATTTACTAAAATTAAGGTTGTACTTTACTTTGGGGCACACAAGATTATCGATTCTTTTATATTAATTCTGATATTGCTCGACGGGACGGATTCTAATGGATCATGAACGACCCTCTTTAAGTCCGCCATGGAATCGAAGCATAGGTCAGAAATGACCCAACAGTCACCTTTCACGGCTCATCTTCGAAGGGTTAATCGAGGACGAAACACGCTTCTGATTAAAACCAGGGACACGTTCAAAGATATGTCATCGACGAAACTGATTAGCCGTAATTGGAGCTCGACGAAGCCCCGAAGCGTACGGGCCTGTTTTGACAGTACGTATCGGAAGTCGACATCGGATGACCCGCTGGTGCATACACCGGCAACGTACACAGGTGGTCGTCGGATTACCCTTGCATCGTACGTGAAATGCGCTGATAAAAGCGGAGAATTGAAATTCACTGGATCGAAACGTTCTCGGATTATGCTGGCCGGCAAATTTCACCTATCGCGCACCTACTCTACCGTCTCTTCTTCTTTTTCATTGTTTTCCATTTCCCTCCCCCTTTCTCATAGATCGTGCACGGACTTTGAACTTCTAATTCGAAATTCTACGTGAGCTTGCAACAAATAACCGAGCACAATGTCGTCAGCTGTTGGTGTTTTCAGTTTCGCTTGTTGTTTTATTCGACAGAGAGGATCAAACGTTTAGAACGGATAAGATATAATTGGGGAGTTTTAAGAATTAAAAAAAAATAGAGAACAATCATTCATTGGGAAAATTATTAATTCATGAACTTATCTCTGTAATGTGTGTTCGTGGTGGAAGATGAAATCAATTTAAAGAATTTTGAAAATATAAAAAATCCTATGTTTTTTAAATTATAATTAAATATTATGAAAAATGAAATGAGGTTTGTAGGAATTTGAAAATTGGCTTAATTTTCTAAAATGATAATTAACACTATTAATTTATGAACACTACATATTTATGTAAAAAATTTTGAAAAATTTATAAAATTGCTAACTGAGAATACAGATAAAATTGGATGCTGATAACAAAAATGTTAATTTTCTAAATGACTACTTATTGCCATTAATTGATTAATCCATCACTGTATATCAGTGCGAAAACAAGATGAAGGTTTGTAAAACGAAACAGTACATGGCAAAAGAAAACCCATCGACCTAACCAGGAAATATGTATGTGGATCAGTGGTGGATCGAGGATGATGAAACGGCGAGGGAAGATTAATGGAAAACTTAAAGGTGAAGAAGCTGAGTTCAGCTCGGCTCGAGGAGGCACGCAGGAATAAATTAAAAAACTGTCTCTCAAAGTGTGTTGAAGCGAATCGAGGCTCGTTATAGCTTCTTTTGAAAATTAAGCGGTTTCGAACGCAATTCGATAACGTCGTCGTCATTCATCATCCGCTGTAATTACGCGATTTGCATCGAAATGGAAATCATGCTCGACTTTAATGGCAGGTTAAAGGCAATAGATCGACGCGTTCTATTGATTTTTAGAGATCTCCTCATTGGGTCAATGTGTAACTAGAAATTAGATAACGCTGAATATAGGACAAATTGAAATATGATTTATATAAATTCATCATTTCGGAATAATCTCTTGGGATGGGATAATATTTCTCATAGGTGATATCAATATTGGGCCAAAAGCGAATTGATACCATTTAAACAAAAAATAAAATAAAAATGCATTATTTTCCTTTTTTTAATTAATAAAGTTCTTAATTTGATAAACTATAGATATTAGATATTAATTAAGAAATACTTAAATACTTAACTGATGATTTAACTTCAAAAATAAATTAATTTATCTTTAATACCACTTTTAAAAATAAATTATTAACGGTATTAATAACAATTAAAAAACAATTTCTCAAATAGAAATTATGAAATTAACTTTGATTTTGCTACACTATCAGCACAGCGTTTCAACAATTTAATTCTTTACATAAAAATGTAAATAAGAAATTACTAAATAAATGTAATCTGTCTATAATAAACGAATATAAACATGTTTAAAAAAAGAGTTTCATTGGTAAATTAGAAGACATTCTCTGAAATGTGCTGTTTAATGTAGCAGGTAGAAAATCAAAGTTCAGTAGTAGAGAGACGATGAGAACCATGCCGGCCTCGGCATCCTGATTAATCGACGATTCTAATGTTCCAATTTATGTCGCAATCAAGGTAATTTGACGTTTAATCAAAGCAGCTGCATCGCGCAACTTCGACAACGAAACGTAACGAGCGAAATAATGAATAGCGAGTCAATAATGAGAAAGTTCAGTGAACAATCGTGAAACTTAAAATTACACGTTCGAGTGCAATCATGAAATCACAAATACGCATCGAATGTAATAAAAGGAAATCGCGTGCAATACATTGTCACGGAAGTGGAGATTAAATTTCCACATCAATTTTCAGGATTATTCGATAATATTTTGACCTACTTTCTGCGATAAAAATATCTGACAAAATAGTTTCGGGAAAATAGTATTTAAAATAATAAGAAGATTGATTAATTCACTCACCCTTGTTGAACAGCATATGTTTGCCCATTGCTATCGAAAGTGGATCATCCATCTGAAAAAATACAAACCGTTCTATGGAATCATCCTCGTTTATATAATTTGTACACTATTGTACCTACAATGTTTTTTTTTTCTTTCAAGAAATACATATTTACTCTATCTGTTTATAAATTAAAAACCAGGAAAATTCATAATTAGTAAACGTTCAAAATCCAATATACTGAAAAATTAAATCTTCCAAAAGCAACATTGGAATCTTTTAATTATGTTCAGTAAAGAAAAGTAAACTGCTCGAAGAAAGTAAAGTAATCTTCATATCTTGAGCACGAAACTGGAAGAAAAGCTCGCGTACGTACTTCACGAACCTTTTTGCAGCATATAAAATTCATATGAAACATTACTATCTAAAAGTACAAACACGAGAAAGAAAGGTTTATTGCGGTGCACTCGGCAACCTATCTACCTGCATAACGAACGAAAGTATAATTCTTCAGTGTGTTCATGAAAAAGAACGAATCTTTTTATAGTTACGTCGATTTAAATAGTTAATTCACTGGGTTTGAAGTTTAATGGAGATGCATTAACACTGACACAGTTTGCCGTATGGCGTTATCAACGTATAATCGGGCAACACCGAGCATAATAGTGAATGAAGCGTTGCACGCAATGCGATCGTTAAATGCATTACTGAAAGCGAT